TGATTCCAATATCCTTGGTCGAGGGCTCTCCGGCCACAAGTTGCACCTGTCACCTTCCCACCCCCATCCCCAAACTTTCTTCTCCCTACTCCGTCAATGACTCCCGGGGTTCCCTCTGCCTCTCTCACTTGCACAAAACAGAGGCACCGATAGCAGCGCTGGAACCCTGCCTCAGCTCAGCTCCTTGGCATTCCCGAACTCCCCGCAGCCAGTCCCAGCCATTGCCGACGTTCCTATCTAGACAATGGGCGGAGCCGCCGCCGGGCAATTCGAGGTCGAGATAGAGTCGTGATAGGCTTCTTTCGCCCTTTTTGTCCGTACCCGAGCTTTCTTGTCTCTCACACTCTCTCCATGTCCTTCCTCTCTTTCCCCTCCTCTTCCTGCTGCTCGTCAATTCGTTTGCGCCTCCAACTAACAATGGCTCGTCTACAGTTTCCGAATAGTTACTTCAATTTTACATGACGCGCGCTGGTCTCGAGAGCGACGCAGCCTCCCCCCCAGCTTTCACCATGCCTGCCCACTCACCGCCCTCCCCCTCCGCTAAACCCCCGAAACGCGCCCGGCAGTCCTCCTTCGACGATGCGTCACCGACGTCCGGGGGCGCCGACCAGAGCCCATCGGCCGATCTCAGCGATGTCATCGGCGATAAGAGCAGCAAGTCTGCCGCCCAGCAGAGCAGCACGTTCCGCAACGTGAGCGCATGCAATCGATGTCGCTTGCGCAAGAACCGATGCGACCAGAAGCTCCCGAGTTGCGCCAGTTGCGCCAAAGCTGGTGTCGCCTGTGTTGGTTATGACCCCATCACCAAGAAGGAGATCCCCAGGAGGTATGCGCCGATGCAAAGACATTCAATTCCACCCCGGCTCGCCGTGCTCATACTGCCAACAGTTATGTCTACTATCTTGAGATGCGCGTCGACCAGCTCGAGACATTGCTGACGGCCAACAACATAACGTTCCCCCCCGCCGAGGACCTGGAACGCTGCTCACGACCAGGCAACGAGCCCTCTAGATCCATCGCCGATTCAAACTTTTCCGCCCGCTCCGAGAGCATCGACAGCCATAGCACGACGACGAAGAACCAGCAGCCCATACGACCCGATCTTGAGAAGACGAAGAAAGCCGATGCGAACCAGGGTATGCTCAACATTGTCAGCCCCTCGAAACCCCGATCTCTTGCCTCGGCGTCTGGCGTATCTTTCAATCGTGTCGTTTTCGCCGCTGTACAGTACTCCGTGTCGGATCACAATGGCACCTCGGACCGGGCCGGGGGCAAGGGCGCGATAGCCGGTGCCAGCGGCGGCACCACCATGCGGGATTCCTTCTTCGGCTTGCACACGAAGCCTACCATTCGACCCGCGCCTTTTCCAGAGAAGCAAGTGGGCGCCAGACTGGTGACTCTATATTTCGAGCACGCCAATCCGCAGATTCCCATCTTGCATCGCACAGAGTTCATGACAATGTTTGAGCAAGCATATGCCACGCCGGGTGGGCCTCAAGGCTCGCGCGAGCTGTACATGCTCAACATGGTGTTTGCCATTGGATGCGGTGTCATCGTTGGTGAGCCTGTCAAGTCAGAGGGGTCGGGTAGTGGCGGGCCAAGGAATCCGATCGACATGAACAAGTTCGGGCAGGCTCAACCCGAGGAATACCACGCGAGCGCCATTGTTCATCTTGAGGCTTGTCTAGGGTCCAGCGGAGGCGGACTGGAGGTATTGCAGGCTGTTTTGCTACTGGCGAACTTTGCCCTGCTTCGACCGGTGCCTCCAGGTCTCTGGTATGTGTTTTGCTACGTTGGTGTGATGTGTTCCAGCTAACAAGCAAAGGTATATCATTGGTGTTGCTGTGCGACTGGCCGTCGATTTGGGCTTGCATTACGAAGATGGTAGCGATGTCGAGACGGCAATACCGGACCTTCCTCCTGCCGGCTCGGAACCCGAAAGTAAGGAGACGCGCGAAACAAGAGAGAGCCATGCGCGCGAGCGCGGGAGGCGGCTTTATATTCGCGACATGAGACGGCGGCTCTGGTGGTGTACGTATTCCTTCGACCGTCTCGTCAGCACATGCGTTGGCAGGCCCTTTGGCATCAGCGACCAGGTCATCACGACCGAGTTCCCCTCCCTCCTCGACGACCAGTACGTCACGCCAGCCGGTTTCCTCGAACCCCCGCCACTCGAACAGCCCGAGCCGAGCTACAAGAACGTTGCCTATCATTATTTCAAGCTGCGACTTCTCCAGTCGGAAATTCTGCAGGTATTGCAGTACAACCAAACACAAGTGGCGCGCGCAGTTGGACAAAACTTCACCAACTCCGACATGCACACCCATCTACCCTCGCCCTTTTTGGTCAGATTCGACTCATTCCGTTCCTGGAGAATTGACGTCGACCGGAGACTCTACCAGTGAAGAACTCGGCACCGACAGAGAAGAGACGGCCGTAGCATTCTCGACCGAATTCCTTGAGCTCATGACTGGCAAGCCATCATCATGCTCTAC